TGTGCCCTCAGAAATTCCCAAATGGAACAGAAAAGGACGTTTTCACGATATGGACATTCCCACTTCAAAATTAGCCACATTTTATAGATGCAAAATCGGTATTGGTGTCGGTATGCAACTCTACAGCTGTCAGGGATGACACAAAATGATGATGATTACTTTATTAAGTGTCCAAAATCTCAATGTCTTACTCAATATTTTGGGACACAACCTACAACTGTAGGCCTCCAAGCCTACAAGTGTTTGCCCAGCAACTAGTCCGGCACAAAACCACCTTTAAAATGTTAGCCTTTTGTACGGATTAAACAAACTCAATATCAAGTTTTAGTTAGTGAGCTTTAGAGGTGGGAGGTGGAATTTGTTTGCCTTAGGACAGAGGCAGGCTAATAATTTCCCCCTGTTTCCAGTCTTTATGCTAAGCATGCTAATTCCCTGCCGGCTGTTGCTCCATGTAGAGACATAAAAGTGCTTCTCAAACACATTTTTAAGTGGAATGAGACTTAAACTAAGCATTAAATGATTTTTAAAAAAGGCCATACAAACAAACCCAAAACATTAAGAAGATATTTACATTAATCACATCCCAGACAGCGCACTTTACCTGCCGGGATTTAATCTCATCCGTGCGGATCGTGTAACGAAGCTTACATAAACGAAGGTTGGTGTACAGATGTCACAGTGTTAAAGAAATCGTGCAGTCCTCACTTAGAGACCTTATTCATAAACTGTAAGCCTTTTTATTCACCGCGGGAGTTTTCCTTGTTTGTTCTGGTCGCTGTTTATATTCTGCCTCAGGCCTGTGTTAGTGAGGCATTACCACCCCTGGCTGACCAGATAACTACCCAGATAGCAAACATTATTGAAACTATGTTGAATCAGCATTCTGCTCTGAACGCTAATTTAATTGAATCAACATCAGACTCAGATGTTGATTCATCATCATTTTGCACCATTTTTTAATATTTAAACAATGTTGAAATCATAGCTAACTAAAAATCAACGTGACTTCAGTGTTATTTAAACCAATATTACTATTGAAACAACGTTGAAATAACAGCCTAACTAAAAATCAACGTGACTTCAATGTTATTTCAATCAATTTTATTATTGAAACAATATTGAAACTAAGCTGAATCAACATTCTGCTGTCAAGGCTAATTTCATCATCATTTTGTACCCTTTTTTAATATTGAAACAATGTTGAAATCATAAGTCAATGTGACTTCAATGGTATTTCAACAGATATTACTATTGAAACAATGTTGAAACTATGTTGAATCAGGATTCCGCTCTCAACGCTAATTTCATTGAATCATCATCATTTTGCACCTTTTTTAATATTGAAACCATGTTGAAATCATAGCTAACTAAAAATCAACGTGACTTCAATGCTATTTCAACCAATATTAAACCACAGAAAAGAGACTATAATATATTAAAAATGTATAAATGACAATGGACAATTTAATCAGTTAAAAAATACAAGTTTATTTATGGAATAATATATTCACATATTCCTGCTCTGCTCTGTCCACCCATCCGGTCTGGAGCATAGGAAGCCATTTTTGTGCCGCCTGGGCAAAGTCAAAGGCTTCTGTCCCCATTGGTTTAGTCAGGGCTTCTATAACAGAAAACATACAAACAAAATAACTTTCAGCAGTGAAAATGATGTAAAGATGAACAATGTCAGTCGGGCTGAACTGGCGTGATATTATTATATAGATATTATATTCGGCAAAGCCAAACAGTTAACTTACTTGAATGAACTAACGTTACAGATTCACCAGTTTATTGTAGATGTAGACAGCCTGGCTGTGGTGGAATCCATTGACGTTTATAGTTTAATGTAATTTAAATTGTCTAACATTAAATGCAGTCATAGATTGAATTTGGATGCTGAAAGTTGTAGAAGACTCACAGATGTATCAAGTTAGCTGCCTTATTTAAAGTTAAATGATAGGGGCATTAGCTAGGATCAGTTGAGCATGAGACAAGCATGAGAAAAGGCATGCATATATTTTGCAAAGCACTCGAAATCTGAGCAAAGATAAAATACAATTATTATCATGGTTTACAGTCCTGTACTGGAAATTATCTTCTGGTGATAAAGTTAGCATATCAATAAATGATAAATGTCTACAAATTTGGTACAATTAAACATTAGATAAATAAATATGTGCTTACCTGATGTGGACTTGTGTGGGTTTCAGGAACATTGATCCACCAAGCGATGGTCTTCCGGTCAACAATACGGCATTGGCTTTTCAATCATGTTTCCCGGTCAACTATAAATCCATGGCTTTTCAATCTCACGTCATTTCCCGGTCAACTATAAATAGATGACTTTTCAATCATATTTCAATCATGTTTCCCGGTCAACTACAATTCAATGACTTTTCAATCATATTTCCTGGTCAACTATAAATCCATGGCTTTTCAATATCACATCATTTCTGGTCAACAATAAATAGATGATTTTTCAACATTGTTGTTGTTACCCAGTCAACTACGACTACTATAAATCAATATTATTCCAATGCCATGCTCATATATGGTCGTTTTTCATCAGTATTGCAATACTAATTCAACATTTATTTAGGGTTGAGATTTCAATCTCAATCTCAAAAATCAATATTTATTCAATGTAGTCTTGCTATAACGTGGAGAAAAAAACATCCAGACTCCCTGCTCATTGTTCTCCAGGACTTCAACAACGCAAACCTCAGCCACGAACTTCCAAAGTACAGACAGCATATTAAGAGTCCCACCAGGGACACTAACACACTAGACAACTGCTACACTGCATTAAAGGACGCCTATCGCTCTGTTCCCTGTGTCTGGTTTATCTTATCCAGACATACAAGCAGAAACTGAAATCTGCTAAAGCCCAGATCAAAGCAGGAAAGAGGAGCTACACTGAAAACCTAGAAAACAGCTTCAAAGCCAGCGACCCTGCTTCAGTGTGGAGAGGCCTGCAGACACACACTAACCACAGGAGACCATCCCCCAACACTGCTGGTACTCAACGACAAGCTGAATGGTTTTTACTGTAGGTTTGAGAAGCCCACAGTCACTCCTCTCCCCCACTCCAACTCCATCTTCAAACAGTCACCTTCCCCCACTGATCTTTGAAGAGGATGTGCCCCAGCTCTTCCAAATGCAGAAGATCAGGACTCCATTCTGCCTGAAAATCTGAACAGACCAGCTGGCCCCCATCTTCACACAGATCTTCAACAGATCACTGGAGCTGTGTGAAGTTCCCTCCTGCTTCAAACGCTCCACAATCATCCCAGTCCCCAAAAAACCATCCATCTCTGGATTAAATAACTACAGGCCTGTCGCCCTGACATCTGTAGTCATGAAGTCCTTTGAAAGACAGGTGTTGGCCCACCTAAAGGACATTACAGGCCATTTGCTGGACCCCCTGCAGTTTGCGTACAGGGCTAACAGGTCTGTGGATGATGCAGTCAACTTGGGACTGCATTACATCCTGCAACACCTCGACTCTCCAGGGACATATGCAAGGACCCTGTTCGTGGACTCGTGGCTCGGCGTTCAACACCATCATCCCAGACATCCTCAGTACCAAACTCACCCAGCTCACTGTGCCAGCCTCCACCTGTCAGAGGATCACAAACTTCCTGACTGACAGGAGTCAGCAGGTGAAGCTGGGGAACATCACATCCAGAGCCCCGACTATTAGCACTGGTGCCCCCCAGGGGTGTGTGCTCTCCCCACTGCTCTTCTCCTTCTAAACAAACGATTGCACCTCAGGAGACCCATCTGTCAAACTCCTGAAGTTCGCTGACAACACAATGGTCATCGGCCTCTTACGAGATGAGTCGGCTTACAGATGGGAGGTTGATCAGCTGGCTCTCTGGTGCGGCCAGAACAAGGAGGAGCCCCCCCCACTCTGCCCCCCATCACTATACTCAACAGCCCTGTGTCTGCTGTGGAATCCTTCAGGTGTCTGGGATCCACTTTACCCCATGACCTAAAGTGGGAGCCCAACACTGACTCAATCATCAAGAAGGCCCAACAGAGGATGTACTTCCTGCGCCAGCTCAGGAAGCCTGTAGAAAAGATCATCAGTGCCAACCTGCCCTCCATTCAGGACTTATACATTTCCAGGGTCAAGAAACAGGCAGGAAACATCACTACAGATCCATCGCACCCCGGACACAACCTGTTCCAGCTTCTCCCCTCTAGTAGGCGCTACAGAGCACTGTATGCCAAAACCAACAGACTCAGGAACAGTTTCTTCCCACAAGCCATCACAGCTGACTCTGACTCACGGTGTCAGGAACAATTCCTGTGCAATAGCCCAGTAACCCTGCCTCTAATCAACCACCTGTTTACTGGCTACCACTTACCACTTATTATTTATTCATCGTTCTCTCATTCTCTTTTTCAGAGCAGTTTATACTGTTCATATTGTTATGTTTTCATATTGTATATACTGTATACCAAATCCACCTACCTCAAGTACATAACACCTGCACATAATACTTTTATTATTTATACCAGCATCCTTTGCACAATGCTCCATCGCACTGTGTACATGTGTACACATATGCATGTATGTGTACCTGTATATCTCATCCACCTCCGACATGTGCATAATAATGATGATGATAATGATGATCATTTACTCCTGCAACCTTTGCACTTTGCTCATTGCACAATTGTCTCAATCTTTCCATATTGTTGTTTTGTTTACAGTGTGTATGTGTACTTTATACTGTAGCCTGTGTCTGATTGTAAAAAGTAAGCACATTGTGAGGAATGTACAATCCTGAGTCAAATTCCTTGTATGTGTACACATACCTGGCAATAAAGCTGATATCACAGGTGATGCTCCTCTTTCCTCCAAGCTCAGTGGGGGTTTTGCCCCTCCCCTCCGTCTGTCAGGCAGGCACACCTTTCCTGTCTGGTCCTCCAGCGTTTCTTACCTTCTTGAGGCTCCTTTCAGCCTCGTTGTCTGGCGGTGAACTCTCACCCCAGCTGCTTGGGAAATGTCATACAGGCAGAGGCCCGTGCTGCAGTAGGGGGCGTAATAGGAGGGGAAAAAATAACAACATTTTTTACTGCTCTCACTGCATCCTTTACTCGCGTCTCTGCCGTGCAAGTTCCACATCCCGCTACAAGCAGCAGCAGCCGTCGCCTGATAACTACTCGAAGTCTCAATGCTTGTTTCGCATTAGGGCTAATATAAAAAAAAATCCGTGCCAGACATGTGAGTAGCAAACCCGCTGTCGTTTCTCCATTTACCCCGTTGACTGCTATGTGCTCACGCGTTTGTATCCTCACGCCAGTGAGAACAAATGGTCATTGAACCGTGTCGTTGTGCATTTCGTGTCAGTGTGCTGGTTTCGTGGTAGCATGGCTGTGCTGGAGTCTCTGCACACTGATGGGGCAGATGAAGCCTCTCTGTCGGCTTGTTTTGGAGCTCTGCGTCGGCTTGGCTAACTGGGCAACAAACCCCCCCCCCCCCAAAAAAAAAGCTGTGATTTTTCAGCTGTAAATAGCCCAGATGTGGAGGGAGAGCCCATTCAATCACCGGCTGGATGACATGTGTGTAACGTAACCGAGCTCTTTAGCCTGCTCGCATTTGATTCAAGGTAGCTGTGAATTGGTGTGTGTGTGTGTGTGTGTGTGTGTGTGGAGTCCAAGCGTGGCATCTCCAGTCAGATGTGGAGGCCCAGGTTAGAGCACACATAATGCGGCGGTGTTGATCTCAAATCTGTGTGGTGACTGTGTGAGGGTGACAAGGAAGCAGAAATCACAGGGCGATCACTGGTGCAGGTGTGAGCACAAGGAAGCCGGGGTTGCATTGCTGGCAGTTTAGTGTCTTAGAGCTCAAATCACAGATTAAGATTTCTTTTTTGTATATTTCATATTTACATTTTAAGATGCACAGATGGCCTATATTGGCGTTTAGTTTAGTGATTTCCAGTAGTAGCTTTACAGGAAGCTCGCTGTAGGGTACTTTTAAAAAGGTCTATGTCTGGGTTATTTGTGATTACACATAGAGATGTGCAACAAAGTACTCTCAACTCAGGGGTCCACTTACCAGCTTTTTATCTAGAGGATGCACCATTCCAACTGTCTCTCCCAATACCTCAACTCAGGTTTCCTGCCAACACGTACCTAAAATCTGGACACCATTCGGATCATTTTTGTTTGTGCAACATAGGGATTGCTGTGGGGCTAAAATTAAATCGGCAGCCCACTGTGAATGTAAAAACAAAATTTAACAAAGAAACTGGATTTAATGTTTATTGGTTATGTCATGGCCGTTACTCAATCCGCTAAGTAAGGTCAATGTCTTCGCTGCTGATGCTGATTTGGCTTATGGAATCGGTGCATCTCTACTATTAATCACATCTCACTGTTCATTAATCAGAGTGAAGATATTAACTCCATTATTTAGTTATAGGAGATATTTCATAATGTTAAAAACAGATAAGCTCAAAAACACCTAACTGTCGCTGTAACTTTGTCGCTAAGTACTTATCCTATTCACACTATTAAATGTTTGATAATTGTGATTTTAAATATCCTTCATCTATAGAGAATTTGAAGGCTTTTGGCAGTGGATAGTAGAGAGGTGACAGGAAATGAGGGAAGAAAAAGGAGGCATGACATGCAACAGGTTCACAAGTCCACCTATATTTCTGCTAAAATTAGCAACATTTAAATTTGTTTCCAGGTGATGTTTATGGAATGACATACAAGTTTCATATCTAATCGTGAATGTTGTTCACGTTTTCAGGGAGGAGAACATCATGCTTTTCTTGAAGATGTTAGTCCAACAAACTAACTGGCTTGTGACGACGATGCCCAGTCGAAGATCCTGGGACTGAGACGTGAATCCCTTTACACTGATGGCCTGGACTGAGTAAGATGTTTGCGTGTGCCTGTTCCCTAAAGTGGACGTTCAGTGTTGTTTTGTCTGGGTTGGAAAGCTGGCATTAAATTCCTGATATTGTAAATGGCGGTGTGTGATAATGTTCACTTCCATGACAGGTTTCAGCTGGCCTGCTGAAGCTATGGGGAGCTGTTGGAGTTGTCTGTACAGAGACCCCATTCGAGACAACCATCTCACTAAATTTAAGGTGAGTATTCCTCAAATAACACATTTCTTTAGATCTGTCTGCACCACTTGTACTGTTTGTTTCCATTTGTTCCATAATGCTGTAACAAATGTATGTATTTTACAGTGTATTGTAAAAATCTTCGTGTTGTATTTCTTTTCCCTGCCGTAGGTCACCAATGTGGATGATGAGGGCAATGAGCTGGGCTCTGGGATCATGGAGCTCACCCAGACCGAGCTCATTCTTCACACACGCAAGAGGGATGCCATCCGGTGGCCGTATCTCTGCCTGCGACGCTACGGCTACGACTCCAACCTGTTTTCTTTCGAGAGCGGCCGTCGCTGTCAGACTGGGCAGGGTAAGCTACATTTTCTCCGTGTCTCTGCTTCAATACAAATCATTCATATTTTCTATTTATATGTACTATTTTAACCATTTTGTGTGGTGTTGCTTACTGGGCTGTTTGTCACTGAAGACATTTGAACATGTCATAGTAGGAAAAACACAGCTGTAAATACTAAATTGGCTGAATTCCATTTAGCTGCTCCAGTTATTTTAAACTGCTGTGAAAAGGCTAATGTTGTACTCAGTCTATGTGTTATCAGTTTGATAATGGTATGACCATGGTACGACGACGAGCATTGGGTGCAGCCACTGCCTGTTGAATCCCATGTAGTGTGTCAAAGTGAGGGACAACCAACACAGCATCTGCCACGCCTCACGACATCCCGACAAAAATAATGTTGTCACCTTTTCTCGCCATGTTTGACAACTTCTACCATGTGTTCTTCGATGTCGACCCACAGAAGCACAAAGCGACATTTCGTGTACAACTGTGAGGGTCGGGTTATGCATGTTCAAAACAACTATAAACACTTCTGAGCATGTGTTACTAACTAGTTCTGAACGGCCACACTTGAAAGCAGAGTGCATTCATTCACAGTCATGCATTGGGTTGTTGAACAACCCAATGCATGAGTTGTGTTGTGCACAAAGAGCGCATGAGAGAGAAAAGGTAAACTCTGGCTCCTCACTCACCTCAAAATATAAGAGTAAAGACAAACTGTCACTTCAATATTAATTGATATGGTATGTTACCAGTATTTATAAATCATTTATATAACTGTCTGCGTATTTTCATTTATATAACCTTCAGCCATTGAGGACTTGGTCTTCTCACTGTCTTACTGGTGACCAATTGTAATCTAACGATTTTGTTCTTTTGCATGTTTGATCAGGAATTTTTGCATTCAAGTGTTCCCGGGCAGAAGAGATCTTTAATCTGCTTCAGGAGCTGATGCAATGCAACAGCATCAACGTGGTGGAAGAGTCTATGATGATGAGTCGCAGTGGTCACACACCAGAGATGGAGATGTCTCGCACGCCACAGACTCCCAACAGTGAGTCACACAGCCACACACACACACACACACACACACACAGCCCTGCTAATTATATACTTAAGATTAATTGTAGAACTTGCATGCAGCAATACAGCAGTAAATTTAGCAGAATGTGTGAGCTAATAATAGACACAGGTTAAATTGATTCTACTGAGTCACAGGTACTAAGGTATCCAAATAACACCAAGTGGAGCAGAGACACAGCCTGCAGCCAGACTTTCACTTTATATGGCCAGTTAGAGCAGACTGAGAAGTTACTATTGTATCTCAAATGTCCTCATAAAGATTGTATTGTGACAATATATCGTGGGTCATAGATCACAGATTTAAAGTGTGTGTGTGTGTGTGTGTGTGTGTGTGTGTGTGTGTGTGTGAGAAAAGGTGAATGAGAGAGAGCAAATTTGCGAAACACTTTGGACAAAAAGTGCTATATAAATGTAGCCATATACCATGTGAAAGCTTACAGTGTGAGATCTTCGATTGTGAAGAGAATCTATTTTTATTTTTAATAATTAAAAAATTTAATTTGAATCTAAAACGAAAATTTAAATTAAAGCATGAATTTAAGTTTTTATCATCTCATTCTATATGGCATAATATTCTTGTTGACACTACTGTGCACAGTTTACCAGTTAACAGACAAAAAAGGGAAACAGAAACTTGTGCGAAAACCTTTTTTAGAATGTGTTTGGGAGGTTTTTCTGTGTACTGCAATGAGAGGAAAATTTTGCAGTCAGGTTTTGGTTACAGTTATTAACCAAAAATATTTGAATTACGCTTCATAAACGTACAATAACTTGAGTAACTCAAACATCAAAACAAAAGAACTGGAGTTTAGATGATAAAATACATTAATTAGAACGTTTATATACTGCAAGGTCTTTTTTTAAAGCTTGATTATCTCTGAGTTTGACATGTTTCATTCTGTGGAGCTCACTGAATCAGGACTTGTTTTTCCTTGTCTGTATCTTTATATTGTCACACAAATGTGTTTGCAGCTCCAGCGTTCCCAGTCCAGGCTTTTCCCAATGGATACCCTGGTTATCCAATCAGAGGTGATTCCTCCCAACCCTCTCTTGCTGATGATCATGGACATGGCCTCATGGGTTTGGAAGACCAGGTAAGACCTATCATTGCTCCTTATAGTTCACTGTATCTGTGTAGTTCTCAGTTTGACCCTGTTTTGATTTTCCCTAACAGACCCACACCTATGTAAATACTGTTAGTATGGAGGGGGATCTCTCTATACGTCACTGTGTGCACTCCATGCCTGAGGTGCGGCCCAGCACTTTCCCTGAAACAACACGGGGAGCCATGCCTGTCGGGGGCCAAGGAAATCCGCAGCCCAACTTGCGGTGCTGTCCCCTGGAGGAGCATAACGATCCTCAGGTGTTCTTACAGCCGTCCTCGCAGGAGGTCAAATTCATGCTGGGCCCCACTCCAGCTCAACGCCATCTGCTGGAGAGAGAGAGGGAGAGAGAGAGGGAGAGAGAGAGGGAGAGGCATGGGCACAATCCTCACAGCCTTCAGCCAGTAGAGGGTGCAACAGGCTCAGAGACGGAAGGAGATGAGCCCTCTATGCACCTGTGCAACTCTCACTCGTATCACCATTTCCATCACCACACGCACCGGCACCCGAGCCTTGAGCACACGGACAGTTGCCAGGGCGGCGAACTCACCTACGAGAACATCAATGGCCTGAGGATCGGCCGGAAGCAGCGGCTGAGTCCCAGCAGCGTGTCGCAGTCTGTGGGTTCAAGCAGCAGCAGCAGCACTGGGGACAGTCACTCACACTCTGTCCTGCACCCACACGTCCACGGCCCATCATCTCTACCCACGCAGGGCTACGCCTGCGAGAGGGGCATGGGTGGAGGTCATCGTCGGACAGCGCTGCTTAACTACGAGAACCTGCCCTCTCTGCCGCCGGTGTGGGAGTACAGGGCTCTGCAGCGGGATGATGAACAGGAGGAGGATGACGATGAGCAGGACGAGGAGGAATACGAGGAAGAAGAGGAAGACTTTGATGAGTACGAGTTCTCAGAAGGCCCTGGGACACCCAACGGGTACCACCAGGATGGTCGTGGCATCCACAGAGATGCCCTGCAGAACTATGTCAACACTGAGCAGGTCCAGCCGACCCGGCTCCGACACGCCTGCCCCCCGCATCCACGATCATGTCAGCCAGACAGAGGGGGGCGAATATTTAGCTTTGATTTCCGCAGACGATCGAGGCCAGGGGTTGGAGGCTGTGAGCACAGCCACATTCCTCCATCGCGGCAGCTTAATTACATCCAGGTGGACCTAGAGGGAGAACCTCCTTGTCAAGCTCTCAGCAGCGGGGGTGCCCAGCCCCAGCCACAGCACCAGCGCCTACCACCCAAAAAATGTGGCCCACAGGCACCCCGGCGCAGTGAATGCTACGCAGTCATTGACCTAAAGAAGACCGCTGCCATGTCCAACCTGCAGAAAGCTCTGCCCAGGGATGATGGGACTTCCAGAAAGACTCGCCACAACAGCACAGACCTGCCTCTGTAAAACGGCATTCAAACTGAAGAGGAACGATGAAGACAGATGAAGGCTTATCCTCAACTTAGCACACTGGACCCTTCACTGTCATCCATCCATTCAACTGTCGGGCTGACTAATTCAGTGCAGGTACCTAATTAGAAACTTACTGAAACCTAGCTGTGCATATAAAAGGAAATGAGAAATTTCTGAGGAGAATTTGCCATTTTATTCTGTGTTATTTATTAGATATGTGGTGTGAAGAAATTGACAGTTTTGCAAATACTGTTTGCTGAATATATATATATATATATATATATATATATATATATATATATATATATATATATATATATATGGTTTTATTCTTAGTTATGACTTAGAGCAGACCTCTGTTTCAGTGGAAGCAGTCATTGTCATAGTTAGTTCTAATTCATATACCCATCTCCTCTCCACTTATTTTTCATGTGTTTTGTTTATTTAAATATTACGAGAGTCAAAAATAGTTGTTGGCATGAAGGAAGGGTAATGGTTCCTCCGAGATACTGGCCAATATTCATACCTCATCACAAGCATCTAAGTCTAATAGTGTGGCTAGTAGAAGAGACCGTTATTTGTTGTTATATGCCTATAGAGCATTTTGCACACAATCCTATGGAATTGTATTTTATTATATTTTAGGAATGGTGTCGTCCAATCCAACAAATATTTAATTAAATGAACAGCAGAGAAGGTGATATTTGGAGAATTATAGTAAAATGAATGATGGTAAAAGTAGCACACACTGATTAAAACTTTGGCTTCGGCTCCCTCCTATCCACATGCAGCAAACGAAAAAGTAGCATATCATCTTCTATCACACCTCCTGCATATCATCCCAGAACTGAAGGAGGTCCGCGCAGTTTACGCTTGTCACATTGCACTTTTGACCCTGGGCCTCTGAAGCTCTCTTTGCCTCCAATTCCACTCCACTGGAGCCGCAGGTTTAACCATGTCCTTTTACCAAAAGCAGGGGGCCAAATATTTCATGGACATTCTTAGTCAACATTGTAGATAGGATTTATTTACAGGTTTTGATTGAGACATCTACAACCTCAAATAGTGGCATTAAGCTATAACCTCACATAAAATGTGCTGAATCTATAATTTGTCAGTTATCAGGTGTGAATGGTCTTTTAAATTGTCTTTTTTTCAACCTTCTTAGTCAGATATTTATTTATTTATTTATTTATTTATTTGTAAATTATTTGTAATAATTTTGTTTTCCACGTGATGACCAGCGTTTTGTAATCCAGTTGGTAATATGGAGACCAAAGTTTCACCTCAAATTATCACTGGACAATGGTGTATTACTGCTATAACTGTGCTTATTTATATTTTTAAAAAAGGAAGGGAAAAGGAGGACTGTATTTATATTTAAGTGCCAAAACTCAATTGCAAACTCTATGATGTATAAAATTAATCGTGCCAATAGGATTTGTAGAAAACTATAAGACAGAAAAGGCATAAGGTGATAACGGTCGGGAGACTAGGTTTAAAAAACAAAACAACAACAGAATCCAACTTTTTAAGGATAAGTAGAAATTAAAACGACACAAACTGCACATTCCACCTCATCCACATCGACAGCTATTTCAGAGCGAGATTTAAGAATAGTGGTCGTGTAGTCTGATAATCACAGTTAGGGTGGTTATATGCTGCTACATGTACATACTAACAGTAGCCCATGTAAGCTACAGGTACTTGTTATGTGTTTGAACCTATGCGATGTCAGATCTTTTAGCATATTGTCAGTTGCTAATAGAAGTAGCATTGTTGTGTTCTTCTGAGATTATTTCTAAACCGTAGAAACATAATGTAACATTTCAGAGAACATTTTATTTGGCTGTCTGGTAGGAGAGGGAACAGAAGCACAGGCCCACTGATGCAGTCATCTTTTGGTTGCGCACTCATATCAAGACGATATATGTAGGCCTTCAAATGCAGATGTATTGCGGCAGTTAGCTGACATTAATATTTTGTCCTTTTAAGAGATAAACAAAGGGGTACAAGTACAAATTCTCAACTTCTGATAAGGAGGGTTTTTTTTGGCTGCTGTGTGACATGAGAGGCACATCAATCAAATTCATTTGTGCCAAAAACAAGTTTGATTTCTTTGTGATGGAAAACCTGCCAATAAAACAACAGACAGAAATCTCTCATGAAATAACTAAAAGTGTTGTTTGTGTTCATTTAGGACCATACTGCTCATAGTAAGAAGCTGACTGAGAAAATGTGTTTTCAGGGCCTTCAGCATTTAGACGTGCGGGATATGGTGCATTATCATATCATTTTTTTATTTTGATTAATTCAATTAATCAAATTGTTTAGTCTATGAAAAATGTCAAAAATGAATGCCCATCACAATTTCCCTGAAAAATAAAACTGATTTTTAAATTGCTATATAGATATTTCTTTTACATTACATATATTTTATTTTGATATTTAATTTAGAATGATATAAAACTATGAAAACTCATAATCTTTTACTAAGCTGTTATTTTCAGAAAGGATAAAAGGCTATTTGCATTTTATGACTTTCATATTTTTTGATTAACCAGAAATTTTCCACTCAATAACATGTTCAAAATATGCACACTTCCTACAGTTTATGTCATCTCAAATAGTCACAAATTCAAAGAGATTCAATTCAAATAAAAAATGATGAATCAGTTATCATAATTGTCTGATAAATAATTAAATGATGGTTCCCAATCTCAAATAATCTATTACTAATATGTTATTTTTTAGAGATGTGATAACAAGGTGTTTACATTTTATGACATTTGTTCTCTGGTTTTTAAGATGGCAATTGACTGCAATTTTTGGTTGGAATTGGTTAGTTTATAGTTTGGTCTATAAATGTCTATCACAATTTTCCTGAACACAAGGTGATGACCAACAATCCAAACCCCTAAATTATTCAGTTTACAATGTTGTAAAACAGAGGAAAAACAAGACAACCCTCACAATTGAGCAAATATTTGGCTGTTTTACCTGATAAGTGAGAAAAATGTGAAAGTCGGAAACCGTGAAACAGTTTCAGTCTAGTTTCTGTTGAACATTTCCAAACACAGAAGCCTTAAATAACCCAAAATCAGAAGTTGATAGTTTGTATTTTTGTTAGATCATCATACTCATCATCTATGATGTTAAAAAATAAGTCTTCTAAAAACAACAAAGGCCAACTTTTAGCTGACATTTTGACTGTATTTGCAAAGATATTGTCATGATACATTGGAAGGATGTTTACATTTTTGCAATAATAGGTGAATTATTGTTTTGTCGATCTAAATCAGACCAATGTGTGAAGTGTGAAATTTAAATAATAGTCTATAGAGCTGTGGGCTTAATGTATTTAACCGCCTGTTCTTCTGTGAATCAGCAGTTTTATTTTTAATTTCAGGTACGATGTTTATTTTTCAATCTTCATTATACAATTTTAAGCTATGAAAGTAAAAAATACAAAAATAAGGATACCTGTTTTCTTGATTGTCAGACACTGTGTTTGCTTAAATCCACATTAACAGTGCCACACAGTAGGTGACCATTGCCAGTACTTAAATAAAATTTTATCATCTTAAACTTTTCAAACCAGGGGCAATGTTTCATACAGAATCAGAAAGTGTTTCATCTAATATCTCAGAATATTGTTACATGTGGTTTTTTGTCACTTAAAAAGAAAATATCCATGTTGGAATGTGTTTTAATATCTTTGTTATAACGCAGTAACCTCACCACCACCCAAAGCAGTCAGCAGTGATTACGGCATCATTCCCACATACTCCTGTGTTTATGGATCAATAAGCAAAATAAATAGATATGTTAAATAAATGTTTTTCAAATTGTTCCGCACAAAAAATGCTCATGTGATCTCATTGCACTTGAGTTCAAAGGAAGTGCAGCTCCCATCTCATACTTCATCGTGATTGGCTCGATGTTGATGCTATCTCAAGCGTTTCATTTTCATAACCCTCAGTGTTGATGCTCGAGGCGTGATTCACACAGGTGTCTGTGAAATAATTAAGCACTGCTCTTTGGTATGAATTGTTGTAATCTCCAGGGCAAGGATCCGCAAGTCCAGATAACATCTCCTGTCATTAAGTTCCCAAAAGTGAATTTATTATGTGGGTTGTTAAACAAAAGGGCTTGCTCTGTGTTTACTGTACAAACATATACATGTATCTTGAAGTAAGAAGAAAGATCTCACTGTGCCTTTCATATTCAACCTGGAGAAACATTTTCATTTCTACTTTTGAGGGCAGCCTGTTGTAAAAACAAACAACAAAAAATCACCACTTGTTTGAAGTTTTGAGACTGATGAAGTTGAAAGGGGCTTTAGTCAAAGTGGTTTCATACTTGAAGTTGTATTGACGTGCCAACTCCTGATTGTTTTACACCATACTGTATTTTATGATTGTCTGTTTTAAAGGAATATTTTGACATTTTAGGGAATCCGCTTATTCGCTGAAACAGGGGAAACCGCTAGCCTGACTCAAATTCCGCCTACCGTGGGATGGTGACAGCAGTTTCTCATTGATTGATACCAAATAAGAATGGTATTCTTCTCATTTAATTCTGGAAAGAAAGCGAAAAGGTGTATTCCAAAAAACGCTGAAATATTTAATTCGGGTTGTAGAAATTAAAATCGAATGAGACATGATTTGTCGACATTACATAATATTAATAATCTGTTGAGAGGTTTAGGATTTGCAGTGAATTAGCCAAACTCAACGGGACTGAAAAGGTGTTGAATCATTACTAGTATGTTCTGTGGCTTATAATGTTAATTTTGAGTAAATTTTACAGTTTGTCATTATACTGTCACGTGGCTATGGTGCACTGATTTCTCATCATCTGCCATCATTCTTCTCGTAGTGCTGAAGAATGTGAAAATAAAATTCCTTTCATTTCATTTTCAATTCATTTCTATTTTATGTATAGTTTTCCAATTCCAAAGTGAGTCCGATTACAAACATATAGTAAGAACAGAAAGAAAGGCCTGCAACACGGTTTGCACCATAGTGCTAAACATCATCTTCATTAGTGGTTTTCATCTTCGTCATCCCCTAAGTGATTCTGTACATCATTGTCTTAAAAAGAAATTACATATTGTAAAACCTCAACTTCCTTTCCACACTATGAGACAGATCTCTTTCAAAATACTGAAAGTATCTGAAAACTGTAATATCTATTATTATTATTATTATTATTATTGTGCATTTTTTAAAATCTGGTTGGTTTTTTTCTGGTACGAGGGTGTAATCACCACCAGAGGGTGATGTACATGTACGGGTCTGAGCTGTACATTTTTGTGTCAGATTTGTGTATTACCATACAGGTTGCATTGGCCTAACTTTGTGAATATTATATCCACTTATGAATCGAATGAGTGCCAGTTATGCTTGAGCATGACAAAATCCAGGACCTACAAGGAACTGCAGATACTCTCTGACTCATCGAGTGAGACTCGAGTGACTCACTGCTGTTGTAGACGCTACTTGTGATATGAATGGACAGCATTAAGGTTTAACCATGCTAAATATTTTTGTTGAAAGAGGGAAAACTTTGGTTGTTTTTGTCTCAGTTTGCAAAAATGTTTTGTTGTATGTTTCTGTGTCCATCCATGGCTTATAAATGAGTATGCAGTGATGGTCTTATCATGCTGCCATTAGAGGTGAATATAAAAAGTGGATTTGCTTCATTTGTTGGACTGTCAAATCAACAACATTTGGGTCATTTCCATTGTTAAATCATTCCACACAGAGACGCGTCGTTTATCTGACCGCCTCTTCATCCCACCCTGTCCCAAAACAAAGTGAGCCTGACTGAATTTTATCAATTATAGAGTGTGGATTTGTCTAAAATGTAAGTAAATAAATGTTATTCTAATATTAAAATGAAGCTATGAAAATATCTTAAAGCGCACTAAACAGTGTATTTGTTTTTTTTCTCAAAGTCAAACCTTTAATGTCTCAAAGAATCAATAAATGTATTTGAGCAAACAAAGCATTTTCTCTCCAGGATCATGTGCCTCTTCAGTTCATAACATGTACAATTTTTAACATTAACACACTTACAAGATATTTTTTAAGGTATTCCTAGAATATTTTTATAAAATATACCATATCAGGCTGCTCAACAATCAGAACAGTACAAGATCTTATAAATATATATATATATATGTGTGTGTGTATGTGTGTATATATATATATGTGTGTGTATGTGTATATATATATGTGTGTGTATGTATATGTATATGTATGTGTGTATATATGTATATATATATGTGTGTATGTATATGTATGTATATATATATATGTGTGTATGTATGTATGTATATATATATGGATGTGTATATATATGTGGATGTGTATATGTGTATGTATGTATGTATGTATATATGTATATATGTATGTATGTGTATATATGTATATATGTGTATGTATGTATATATGTGTATATATATGTGTATGTATGTGTATATATGTATGTATGTGTATATATGTATGTATATATGTATATATATATATATGTGTGTGTGTGTGTGTGTGTATATGTATGTATGTATATGTATATATATGTGTATGTATATATGTATGTATATATATATATATATATATATACACACATGTATATATACATGTATATATATACACACACATATATACAATGAGTTCACTGTACTAAAATGGCCCCCACAGTCACCAGATCTCAACCCAATAGAGCATCTTTGGGATGTGGTGGAACGGGAGCTTCGTGCCCTGGATGTGCATCCCACAAATCTCCATCAACTGCAAGATGCTATCCTATCAATATGGGCCAACATTTCTAAAGAATGCTTTCAGCACCTTGTTGAATCAATGCCACGTAGAATTAAGGCAGTTCTGAAAGCGAAATGGGGTCAAACACAGTATTAGTATGGTGCTCCTAATGTGTGTATACCTTTTTGGGCTGTTGATGATCTAACCTGAACACTCTTGGAGGCGAAATGCTTTGTTTGTTCTGGTCTTTTTATTCTTTTCTAAGGAAACATTGAAGACAGACGTGAGACAGACATGTTTAAATGTGTGTAGTACAATACTCAAACCATTGTGTGGATAATCATTCATCCTTCAGCCCAGCAGCAGAGAAAGCCTGTGCTGTGTAGGTTTCTATACCGAGGAGAGAAATTATGTCAACTGTGTGAACACCATTCAAAGTACATTGCCTTTTTGTTGAGAAGATGTACAGCCGTCAGTAGCTCAGCAACCTGGCCAGGATATATTACTTATTGTCCAAGTGGACATAATCATGTTTCCGATTTTTCAGAAATTAAATCATGATTTTATTCAACAATTGTTTTGGCAACCAAATATTAACTTCTTTTGAGCATGTACTTTGTGTCTGCCAGTGTGTAAAGTATTTTAATAATTTGATGTACAGAGAGCATGATCCTTGTTAGTCTAGAGATTTACAGCAATCTGTAAATATATGCCTTAAATAGTAGCTGTCTTGTGTTTGTATGTCTGTCTTGTTTTATGGTTATTGAATCATTGTATCAAAAGAAGAGCCTCACAAATAAAGCAGAGCTTTTATTGTTTCTACTATACTTGGCGTCACTAATGTTAAGTCTGGAAGCTTTTAACTTTACTAAAGAACTCAATTAATTTTGTTTTAACAGAACACAGATAAATAGACAATTCTCATACATGGCGTCATGAAACTCGCTCTACAGTTTGTCATTTGAGGGTGTGACACGTGAAATGTACCTGAAATAATATGGTGCTAGAACAGTGTTATCAAATTTTGGCATTGAAAATAAAATTTGCCATTGAAGACAAAACTAGACCTGAAAAAGGATTCATTGGCAAGTATTGGCACTGAAAATAAAAGATGGACATTAAAAGTTTAATTTACTTTTAATCAGATTTTTTTGCATTCTGATACAGTATCTCACAGAAGTGAATCACATATCTTTTCATGTGACAACGCTGAAGAAATGACACTTGGCTACAATGTAAAGTAGTGAGTGTACAACAGACGAATCGTTTGATATCTTGGATGTCTGTGTAGCCAGTACACAATGATTAAGATCCGTCTGTTCCAAAGCATTTCTTCCCTCCTTCATTCTGAGGAGAAAAACAAAAGCTTGAAAGGCTCAGGGATACCAAGATGGCGGCACAGGAGATATTTTCACACACAGACAACAGCTGTTTTTGGACTGAAAACAGCAAAAACGGCAAAAGTAAGTCAGCGATTGTAACTGTACATGTACTTGTTGTTTATTTTTCATTTTGCGTGCTTCTACAACCGATCACAGCGCTCTGTGAACTGTTTTCCCCCAGGTCCCTTTATAAAGTGGCGCCCACCCTCCACACCTTTAAATCTCGTTTAAAACATATTTTTATTCCCTGTCTTTTAATTCACCATGAGAGCTGCTGTGGTCTTCGTTGTCGCTGTCATTTTTGATGTTATTTGTTTTGTTTTTATTATCATGAACATATTTTATTTCATCTCTGTAAAGCACTTTGGTAACCTTGTTGTTTTTTAAATTGTGCTATATAAATAAAGTGGATTGGATATGTTGTGATATAAGTTCATTTAGATGCTTGGTGTTTGATGTGTGTTTGGTATGGATAAAAATGGTTGATTGACGTTATGGCTAAACCTACATTCACGGAGATGTGTGGTATTCATAGGATGACAAAATACTAGGATCAGACATGGATTTCTCAGTTGCATTTTGTGCAAAATCCGATCGTCCTACCCATTACCGGGCAAGTCTATGCTTAATTAATACCAACTGCTCATATATAATCATCATTCCTGAGCAAGGAACCAGAAAGTGTTATCCGTCCATCAATCTATTCATCCTTTGCGTGTCAGGGTGAAAATATGAATGTCTCCTCGGGTGGTAAGTGGGTGGTGATTAGGGCATTAAGATGATCAAGACGTACGACATCTGATCCTGAGGGGAAAGTCAATCTGTTTTCCTATTAGACCTAACTTTGTTTTGTAAGTGCTTCAACACTTTTGCCGCACTAATGCATGAAAGGGATTTTTTTGGTGGGAATGACGATTTTAACACAGTCCCCTTCTCAAATGGGCAGGATACATTTTGGTTTGCAAAGATGAAGGCATCGCAGAGGCTTATCACAAAAAGTAAAAAGTTAGATAACCGAAACTACCCCAGCGGCATCATAAAAGGATTTCCAAAACTGTTCACTCAAGTAGTTGGGTGTGTTGCCTGTGGGTGCACTTTCATGATCAATACTGCTTGGTTCGTTAATGCTCCTGGCACTTGTGACGACAGTTGTTATGGTCGTTGGAGAGACCAAGACCAAGTCTTAACATCCACCGTTGACATTCTCACATGAGGCCAAATGTGAGGGTTTCCAACGACATATTATCGATTGATTGAGCACTGAAATCACTTGTCAATAAATCCTTTTTTGAAAAGTGTCCCTTAAAATTAATCTAAATTGTATGATTTAAAAAAATCAACCATGTTCTCAAATACAGGACCTGGCTTGACATTTATTGCTTATCCATTTGCTGTAGCTGTGATGCCTTTACCTCAAGCTACGTTCCCCACTGTGTTTCGAAGAGCTTATCACAGAGAACTGCTGCTGGTTTGTCTCTGCTCTGTTTACTTCCTCTTCTCGGCCGCCTTCTCGTCACAGAAGCGAGAACTCCAGTTGGTTTGTTCACAATAAATAAAAGCTAGCTGCCTGTGTGCTGTCAAAAAAACAGGTCAAAACTGATTACTCCATTACCCTTTTTTTTACTTCTTATATTTCCTATCTGTCCTGGACCTGTGGTGCGCTAAACTGCTAATCTAATTTTCTTTTAGCAAAATTTAATTTGCATGTATTGTTTTTGTGTTTGATGTGTAGTCACATTTGACTGTCTTATGTTTGCAGTTACAGCAATCTACTTCTTTCAGTGTTTAATATGGAAGCATATAGGGGACTAAATTAAAATTATCATGCAAACTTGAAAATGTAATCCCACAATAACATTATCATTTTCCACATATGTATGTGTTATATAGATAAAAATTTAAATGAAAATGTAATCATTTTCATTTTCACATACTTGTGTGAGCATTCTAGGATCATATTAAAATTAAAATGGAAACAGCATTTGACATTTCATTTTCAAAGACTTTTACAAGCAGCTTTCCAAGGGACACAATGAAAATGAAAATGCAATCTGTCAGTCCTCTCATCAAGGCGGGTCCTCAGTTAAGACTTCACTTCCTCTTCAGTTGGAAGGCCACTTCAGGTTCTCATGGTTCAGTTGTGTATCTATCATTCCACAACACTAGGCTGTAACTTCACAACCAAATGAAATCTATCAATCGAACAGCTCAAGGATGGATCTATACCGACTTCAAACTTGGAACCTGTAAGTGTTGCCATTTCTATGTAGCTTTTCTGTTTTTTTGACCACCTGCCTGTTGAATTTGGCATTAGCATATTCTGCAGCTAATGTGGCTAACTGTAACATCAAGCTGTTTCTGTTGTGTATTGTGATATTAAGTCCACACGCCGTCGCCTGTATGTGTGTCTGTTGCTGCAGTAGCCTATGTAAGTTTACCTGGTTGATGCATGGCACATGCAAAAAACGTTTAACTTGCTCATACCCAAAAGCTGTAACATCAGTGTCCTGCTGGGCAGTGTCAAGCCCAGGCTAATACAAACCCATTCTCATTCAGAGATCTCTACTTCACATTACTGCAATACTAGTATTAGTGACAATACCGCAGCTCAGTAAAAGTTAATGTTATAGGAACAGTCAGTCTGTCTGTCATATCAACTACATAGCTGTAATAGTTACAGTTATGAACAGTGCAAAACCGTTACCATAACTACACACTTGAGATGATATTGGACTAAGGTTAAACTGTAAATGTTTCCTGCAGACAGGCCAGCAGAGGTGTTTCCTGCCAGGCTGACAGAAGACAACAGAGGACTACAGGTTTGTACTTAGCTAACCAAAAATAGCAGTCATTTCATTGACAATGCTAGACCAATACCTTTGTAACTTCACACATGACCAGAGGCAGTGAACATAACTACCAATCTCAGAGTAGCTCCTCATATTATCACAGGAATTCCGGCCCTTGACAAAACCAGTTTGGTCCTCCTTAACAATATGAGGCAGAACCTTCTCTAGTCGTAAGGCCAAAATTTCGGAGAGCAGTTTTTGGTCAGAGTTCAGTAGGGCTATCAGCCTGTATGAGGCGCAGCTATCAGGGATTGAGGTGACAATTGAAATCTCCTCCCACAAAAGAGTCGCCTGAGGTCCATTCCATAAAAACTGCAAAAGCCTTGGAGAGAAAATCAGGAGAGTAAGCTGGGGGACAGTATATATTCATAAATGTTACTTCTTTTCCTGCAAGTATTCCTTTAACAATTACATACAGACCCTGGCTGTCTTTAACACAATCAAGAAATCTAAATGGCAGCTTTTTATCTAAATGGCAGCTTTTTATTAAAATGGCTACGCCCCTACTTTAAGAAGAGTATGAGGTAGCAAAGACGTGCCCCACCCAACTCCTGTGAAATTTAGCATTATCCTTGTCCTCCAGGTGAGTCTCCTGGAGGAATGCAATAGAAACATCTTCCTTTTTCAAAAATGATACTGCCGTGCTCTTGGCAGGCTTTTGGAGGCCACGGATATTCCAAGAACAGATCTTAATATTATACAAATCAGACATGGCCCTAAGGCACCATTAGCCATTAGGGCAGGGTAAGTAGGTAGGTAGGTACACCTACAACCACCCTGTGTGTGCGTACCATCACCCACATTGTCAGATACATAGGTCAGATACATTTAGCAGGGATATAAAATGCCACACTGATATCCCACATAGATCTTGTACACATGTCACGTCCTGAGCTAAACACATGAACTACATTGATCAAGCATAACAAATATACAACAGAAAAAAACAAATTAAGGGCCTTTCCCCAAATAAACAGGGACTGTTCACCATACAAGCACCTTTTAAACTCACCAAGGGCGAACTGACGGCAATGGATGAATTGCGTGCCATGAAAACAAAAGAAGTCCTCCCTGCAGGAGTGAACAAAATAAGGTGGAAACGTAGTAATCACGTTACGAGCAGCCTTGCCAGTCGGTCAGGAAATGTTCAATATGTTTAAAATGTTCAGAGTGTTCTAAAATAGGCAATGTCTAAAAAACAGAGCATGACGTACCAGCCTGAGTGGCAAGACTACGGTCATTACAGAAGAAGCGTCGCAAGCCAGACAAACAGAGCTACGTGCCCCGTAAAGTAATCATCCAGTCAGAGTGTCAATGAAAGCACGTACCTCCTCCGGGGTGGAAAACCTGTTTTTGGAGCCTCCGTGTATCACCTGTACAGTAGCCGGCAATAGCATAGCATACGGCATCCCTCGTTCCCGCAGCCGCTGTTTCACTGCGTCGTATGTTTTCAACTGCCAGCAGCCTGGTCCCTGCTTCATCTAGCCGCTTGCTAGCGGCCAGAAGCTCCGTAGCATGCTTGTGGATAGTCTCGGCCAAAGGGCTAAGTTTTTCATCAATAACTTTAATAATGTTGGAAGTCATTATGCTCAGAGTTTTAGCAAGGGCAGGGTCAAGCCCATCTGCGGTATCAAACTCTGTCTGGTCGCCATCTTGTGTAACATTATCATCGCCGGGCTCGGACGGGACGTCTTTTTTGTCTTTGTTTCCTCTGGTTCTTCCCATCTCGTCGAAAGACTGTGGCCAAAAGTTTTCCAAGGACATAGCCTGTTATGTTCATAACAAAAAATGTCTTGTAGCGGCCAGTTATCAGCAGGATAATAAGAAAATTAGCACCGAGTGGCACGGAGCTCTGGCATAAATACAAGGACTAACACACAAAAAGTTAGTCTTTTTTTTTTTCTTAAGCGTTAGAAAAACATGCCCAACTAATTATTGGCTAATTTGATCTTATCACAGATACATCAATGTCTCTGTTTTTAGATAAGTAACAAGAAATCGCAGTAAAAAAATCTACAGATGTGTTTGAGGACATTTAGGAACAGTGTTCCCAATACACATTTTTCCATCACAGAGCACTGATTTACACTCACCTGCCACTTTATTAGGTACACCTGTTCAATTGCTTGTTAACACAAATAGCTAATCAGCCAATCACATAGCAGCAACTCAGTGCATTTAGGAATGTAGACATGGTCAAGACAACTTGTTGAAGTTCAAACTAGAGTATCAGCATGTGGAAGAAAGGGGATTTAAGTGACTTTGAACGTGGCATGGTTGTTAGTGCCAGACAGGCTAGTCTGAGTATTTCAGAAATGGCTACTGCAATTTTCATGCACAACCATCTCTAGGGTTTACAGAGAATGGTCCGAAAAAGGGAAAATATCCAGTGAGCGGCAGTTGTGTGGACAAAAATGCCTTGCTGAAGTCAGAGGAGAGTGGGCAGAAAAAATGTATCAGTGTAAAAATGTATCAGACTGGTTCGAGATTACAGAAAGGCAATAGTAACTCAAATAACCACTTGTTACAACCAAAGTATGCAGAATACCATCTCTGAACACACAACACGTCAAAACTTGAAACAGACTGGCTACAGCAGCAGAAGACCACACCAGGTGTCACTCCTGTCAGCTAAGAACAGAATAGGCTAAGGCTACAATTCGCACAGTCTCACCAAAATTGGACAATAGAAGATTGGAAAAAACATTGCCTGGTCTGATGAGTCTTGAGTTCAGCTGCGACATTCAGATGGTAGGGTCAGAATTTGACTTAAACAACATGAAAGCATGGATCCATCCTGCCTTGTATCAACGGTTCAGGCTGCTGGTGGTGGTGTAATGGTGAGGGGGATATTTTATGGGAAACTTTGGGTCCCTTAGTACCAACTGAGCATTGTTTAAACACGACAGCCTACCTGAGTTTTGCTGACCATGTCCATCCCTTTTGACCACAGTGTACCCATCTTCTGATGGCTACTTCCAGCAGGATAATGCACCATGTCACAAAGATCGAATCATCTCAAACTGATTTCTTGACCATGACAGTGAGTTCACTGTACTCCAGTGGCCTCCACAGTCACCAGATCTCAGTCCAATAGAGCACCTTTGGATGTGGTGGAACGGTAGATTCACATCATGGATGTGCAGTCTACAAAACTGCAGCGACTGCATGATGCTATTAATATGGACCAAAGTCTCTGGGGAATGTTTCCAACATCTTGTTGAAAGTATTCCTCGAAGAATTAAGGCAGTTCTGAAGGCAAAAGGCGGTCCAGCCCATTACTAGCAAGGTGTACCTGATAAAGTGGTCAGTGAGTGTATATCATATATTGCTGTCTGATTTTTTTTTTCCTAAATATTAGTATCGGTCAAAAAATAACTTTGGTTGGGGCTTAAACGACTTGCCTGCCTGGGGCTGCGGTGCACAATCGTTCTGTAAATTTAAATGTACTAATCATTAATAAGTGAAGTGAGTGTTGACCCTCCTTAGATAGCTTATGTTCCTTTTGTCCATTTGTGCCTACACAACGTGTCATCCACTACTACCTAATAGTCTCTAGTGGGACTTCGTCAGTTTATTTACCACATATTTTGTCCTCATTTTAATTTGTAAGTTCCCTTTTAAGTTCAGCTTTGTTTCCTCCATCACTCCTGTTTAAGCTCATTTAAGCTTGAGATCTTCTTGAGGAGGGCCGTTGGATCTCTTGGGCACTGTTTCTTTGAAAGCGAATGAATACAAAAGAGACCCCCTCTGAGAGACCCCTCTACATCTACTCTATAAAAACATGTTCTTCACATAGCTCTCTTGTCAAAAAGGATTTAAATACTGCCTCAGGGGGGTTTGTGGTTAGGCTAAGATTTAATATGGTGAAGTGGTGTTGTTGATGCCTACTTAAAGGGGAGGGGAGGTGGGGGGAGATCTCATTCAATCATACAACATATTATAAAGCTTTTGATGATTCATAATGTTACTTCAGCAACACACACAGATTGAAAAAGATCTTTTGAGTTGTGATTTTAATGCCCTCAAAATCATCAGTAGCTTAACTCTGCTGTGTACTGATAAATCCATGATGCTGTTTATGTTACTGAAGTAGCAGACAGATTTGTAATTGGGCCTTTTTCTCTCAGTCCTGCCTTTCTGTCAGTTAGTTTCTTTAACAAAAAATAACAAATTACTAACTGATTATTTTCTGATTATGAATGTTTGCATAATAACAGTATATTTGTGTCTTTAGCTGAAAGTACATTTTTATAACTTCTACAGTTTTCTTCTCGTATGCAGAGAGAACCCCTCTATATACTGTATATTTGACTGTAGCTGGGAACATCCTTTTCCTTGTTGGTCCTTCAAAAGTCTCCTTTCCTGACAAATTTGTGAATTTAAATGTCCATGCTGTCCGTGTGCTGTTTGACTGTTAGTTAAATCTAAGCGACAGTTAAAAATCTGTCTTTGGGCTCTGTGCAGTCAAGTTCTTTCAAACATAAATCTGAAAACTCTTTCTTTATGGACTCTTCCTGCACAAGGTCATGTTGAAACAGGAAAGAGCCTCCCTCAAGCCTTTGCCACAGGGTTTAAAAGCTGTTTTCTGTTATGTGCTGTAACATTAAGATTTCTCATAAGTACAACTAAGCAGCAGAATCTTTAGAAATCTACCAAAAGACCATAAGTATACAGACACAGGTGCCAAAATAGTTTTGGCTAGTGTATGTGAGTTATGTTTACAGAGAACACTTCCATGTTTATATTAATATGAAAGCTTTTTATATGTAAAACTATTATTTAAGCCTTACTCTCATAGGAGTTTGCTCCTTTAATTAAACTCAACCTTTTTGCTATAAGGTGAGGTTGGACTGAGTCAAGGAGCAATTTTCAATGGGTCATATCTGTTTGATTTTGTTCTTACTTCCATTGTCACAATTCCTGGATGATGGGGGAAAAGAAATAAACACAGAGTTGGCACAGAGACAGTTTATTCAACAAAGCAATTGGGCTGGGGAGTTGGGCTTGAGTGGGGGGGGGTTCCTCCATCCTGGGCTGGGGAAAACAGAGAGGTTGCTGGCAGGCTTACTGGCTGAGCAGAATGGGAAGAGGTCCAGGCCGCTGGCGGACTTAGGGGTATCTGGTAGAGAGGCCAGGCTGCAGCTCGGCCGAGGTAACATGGAGCAGAAGAGAAAACAGGTAGTCTTCTGAGCAAACGCACAGGCTTGTGTGGGCTCACACATACATTACTTCACACGATCTGGCAGGGACTGGATGTCTGAGCCTATCCTAAAAAGCCGTGGCAGATTGCAGATACTGGTCAGGTGTGCTGATGAGGATATTGTTCAGGTGTGTGAGGAACCCGCAGCAGACACGCCCCCAATTCCCCAGGCTGCAGAGAGAGCACAAACAAGGCCAGACAAAACAAAAACATACCAAGCTCCCACCCAGCACACAATCACAACAAAAACAGTCAAACACCCATACACACAGGAGTCACAGCCGGGGACTCGTGACATCAGTAGTTAATAATGTACAAGTGTAGGCCTACTTAGGTCTCCAGCTTTTATTCATGCCTATCTTAATTAGGTCTACTTTCAGAAATAAATAAAGGTAATACTTTTTCCAATACCATGTACCATCCTTGCAAGAAATTAGTTTTATGGATTATTTGGGGGCAGTAAAGAAAGCAATAAAATAAATCAACTTTGTATTTGCTTTTATAAATCAGTAAGGTAAAGGCTCACTCCTACACTGCAGAAGATAAAAGTTTGGTTGCTCAAGTACAAAATATTCTGACAAGATGTCCAGATATTCTAACAAGAAGAGCTAGTTAAATACTGCACCAAGTACTGCTGTACAACAAGAATCAGAGTCCAATAACATGCTACTAAGTTTTAGAAGCTTTCAAAGGAAGAGCAATATATCAATGAGGCCCTCTTGTCAGTCAAGGAGATGCAGCTGCAAGCCGCCCTGCTCGACAAAAACACTCAACTTGACACTAATGAAGCCTAAAAATGTGAGAAATCAGAGGTGGGAGTTTATACTTTGTGCCTGTATCTTCCTGAGTTCTACATACAGGCTCATGTTTTCCCCAAAATTTTATTTACAGTTAAATCTTTTAAGTCATGTTTTGGACCAAAGGCATGGCACTATGGATGCCAATAACACTGACAACTGGGGCTGTCATTATATTTCATTATGGAATAAACTGCAAGTAAAAAAAATACCCACCACTGTTAACAAGTATTTGGGTTGATTGTTTTGTCATTACAATCCAAAGACATTCAGTTTACTCTCATATGACAAAAAGAAATTGCAATAGTTGCAGATTTTTTTAGCTGTTGGACTAATTAACCAATCATTTTAACTCTACACTTTCAGACAGCACAGCACTTTCAGACAGCACAGTAACATATATGATATATATATATATATATCATTGTGACCACTGTATTGGCACAGCGGGGGGTACAGGTGCATAGGTGCCCCCAAAAGTTGAACCTTGCTCAACTTTTGGCAAAAAGTCAATGCAACATCATCCAGCAAAACGTTGCGTTGGCCAATCAAACACAAGCAAGTGCAAATTCCTGGAAGATTACTCTGAACCTCAATATGCTGAAGGGGTCCAAACAGGCCAGCCAATAACTTACCATTAGATTTATCTTTCTATAATCATGCAATAATAATGAAAAGTCAGAGGATCAACAACATTATTACAATTCATGCTGAAGGGGTATGAAGTTATGTACCAAGGTTTCATAACAATCCATCCAATAGTTGTCGAAATATTTCACTAAAAACCACAAATGTGAAATTTATGCCGGGGCTAGAGGAAAAGTCAGGAGATCAAGTACAAGATTACTAAATTCCTCCTTCAGAGCTCCTCTCTGTGTTTTAAATACTACTACATGAATTTATAGCATTTGTAGCATGTGTTACAAATGAATGTAACAGTACTTTAACATAAAGGAAGGAACACTGCTACTATTTATACTGTTTATGATGTTTATTCTCTCCTTTTCTGTATGTGTACCTACTGACCAGTTTGGGAAACCTACAGCACCGCACTTAAATATTCTGTCTATGTGAACTGACTGGTTGTTGTATCACCATCCTCTTTCTACAGAACCTCCGGCAGCTTTGCTGCCCTGAAAACAAGACACACAGCACAACAAAGCAGCTTGAGCAGTGCCCTGTAAACCTAAACATCACTTACAACTGCTGCAAATGAAAACAAGAGAAGCGGTGGAGCTGAATTGGAGATGCAAATATCAGAAGCCAAACATTTTTGATGATGTTTAAAATGCGATATTTTTATTTTGAAACTTGAAAGTTTTACAAGCTAAGCATTTTAAAGAAGGTCTGCACAATAAGCAGTGAGCCTTGTGTCACTGTAAATTGTCTCTGCTGCAGACCTACATGATAAATGAGCACTACTAAGAAGACAAAGTTAAAGCAAAAATTTGATGTATGTGATTAAGTAAAATAAAAATTTTCATGTTTCCATATGCCACCTCAACAGAGGATCAGGAGATGCCAATCTTGGTCATCACTGCCTACTAAGATGCACTGTTGCCACAGATTTCTAAAAACCTTCAGTAAGTAAGTTAGTAAGTAAAGTTTATTTGTATAGCACCTTTCACAGATAAAAATATGTGATTCACGATAAAATGTGCTTTAATTTAAATATAAATGGCAAACATAGAACAAACAACCATAAAAAACCCCTGTCTAACTAAAAGCCTACTTGAATAGCAGAGTCTTCAGTTGTTTTTCAAAAGAATCGAGAGTAGAAAGGGAGGCAATGCATTCCACAGCCTAGGAGCCATTGCTTGGAAGGTTCATTCCCCACTGGTTTTAAAAAACAACCTCTGACTTTTTGACTTCCTCAGACTACGGGTGGGAGTATGAAGCTGTATCAACTCAGAGATGTAGGGAGGAACTTGGCCGTGCAGGGCTCTAAAAGTAAGGACCAGGATTTTAAGTTGAATTCTATACTGGACTGGTAACCAGTGAAGTGATGCTAAAACAGGTATGATGTGTGTTCTTTTGTTAATGTGAGTTAAAAAGCCTTGCAGCAGAGTTCTGAACAGCCTGGAGATGGTAAAGCTCCTTCTTGCTCAAACAAGTAAAAAGGCTGTTACAGTAATCTAAATGAGAGGAAGTGAAAGCATGAATGATCATCTCCAACTCAGCCTAGTGTTCTTAATTTGGAAATATTTCTCAGTTGGAAGAAACAGTTTCTGGCTAATTATTTAGAGTGGTACTCCAAGGACATCGCTGAATAAAAAATAAAATGAACGGTACAGAATATCATCTGCATACAGATGGTAAGATATGTCACTGAATCGGCTAATTATCTGTCCTAGAGGATATATATATATAAAAGCTCCAAAGGGAGTGGCAGCTGATGTTTTTATTAATGCAGAATGCATTTATAAGAAATTCATGTAAATGATATGTGTTCCCTTTTTTATTCTATGATATATTAAGCTTACCAGTGTATATATTTAAAATGGTTTGCATTATAAATGTCCAGATGTATGACAAATTTAAATTTAAGTATAAATATTATTTGCATCATCTGGCTATCTATTATAGATATTTGTATGCTGTTGCAATTATTTACATACATATCTGTATCTCTATTAAACTCACCTACCATTTGTTATAATATAGTGGACCATAAGCCTGAGTCAGACTTTTGCTGAATTCCTACAGGCTGCATTTTTCTTTGCTTCTTAAGCTCCCCACATCTCACTGAATGTTGTGGTATATTTGCAGGTCCTCACACTCCCAGTTAACATATGGAGAAATGTTTGAGTAGTCTAATTATGCAGATTGTACAGATTTTCAGTTTAAAATAAGACAACAGACTTTTTTTCTGAGGCACTGAGGTTGTTACCCTTTTGTTAAATGCTTGCTCTGCTTAGTGGGTGGTAACTGACATACTGAAATGTATCGAAGTAAGGCTAATTTCAAGCCTAGAAGTAGAAGTCCTATTTATTTTCCGCATCAAAATGTGAGGTACAGGGCTCGGGACGAGCATTCAGTTCTCCCAATTCACTACACTAAAAAAATCCTGTTAAAAAGTAAGATGTAAAAAGTCAAAGTTAAGAGGGAGTTCATGAAAACTTCTGGAAGGAAGTCTACTACAACTAAGAGGGAACACTTTTGGAAGAAACCTGCAGTACAACAACTCACCATAGAATTATGTTGTCAGCAATGCAAATGTCAGAAAAAACAATAATTATCAGAAATTAAACTAATTATAGTCAATACCCATAACCCTTTAAAACCTTTAGTGCCATTAAGTCCCAGTCCTCAGTGCTTCTTTGTTGAGAAAGCCCTTCAGATGTGAATTTAAAATAGGGAAATGTTTCTGCAAACTGCAGCTCTGCCCACAGGAAACATATTATTTACAAATGTTTGAAAAGTCTGCAGTTAATGTTGTGCAAACAAGATATTCAGGTATATTTAAATGTCATTCATGCAACAGTTTTTGTTGGCGATTCCAACTTTTGCCCTCATAGTTGTTTTATTAGTGGTGGGTGGTTCGTTTCCTGGCTCTTCCAGTCTGTATGTCAAAATATCCTTGGGCAAGATGTTAACCCCAAATTTCTCCGATGGTGGTGCAGTTGGTGTTTGAATTTTTGTGAATGTTAATTTCTGTTTCTGATGAGCAGTTAGCACTTAACATAGCAGCCTCTGACATCAGTGTATGATTGTGTGAATGTGACATGTACTGTGAAGCGCTTTGAGTGGTGGGAAGACTAGAAAGGCGCTGTGTAAGTGCAGTCCATTTACCATATTTTGAAGTACATATAGAGTATTTCCATGTTAACCTACTTTATTACTTTGTTATAATACTTCCTTCACCACTGGTGATTGGGAGTATGTAATAGATTTGGCTGGCAAGAGCAAATGCTCTTGAGTGAAGGCTGAAAACCTCATAATTTAAGTAATTGAAGTTTTGAGCAGCACACCACAAAGCTTGTGCAATCATGTTTTTATCAGCTTAGAAATAAATCAAAAATTCAATCTATGTTAAATTTTAAGGACACTGAGACCATATTACACGCCTTTATTTCATCACACCTGGAGTACTGAAATAGCCCTTTTTACTGGCTTAACCCAAAAATCTATTGATCGACTCCAGACTGTCCAGAACTCAGCTCAGCCCAGGCTTTCAACCATAACAAATATATCAACTCTCAACAGATGGCTAAAGAGACCCCAAAGGAAGAGGTAAAAGGTTTGCTTTCCCTAAGTGTTTCTGGGCAGTTCGATCATAAAACTTGCCACCTCTGGTGCAGCAGCCAGATAAGGCTTGGTGCCTGACTGTTAAAATGACAAATAAACACTAACCAGAGATTACAAACAGCCTATCAGAACTCTTTTGGAAAGAGGGCAGGAAACCCTAAACTGCCCCCCCCCCCACACACACACGTAACCATATCAACTGACTTCCCTCTTTGTTAATTACCTCACATCAAAGGGTATTCTCCTCTTCACGCCCAGACGTGAGAAACTCCAGGACACCAGAGGACAGCCCTTTTGTGTCTCCTCAAAACTAAAAGCATTTCCTTATTTAATTAAATAATCTTTAAGTTACTTAACTAGGTCTCTCCACTCCATTTGAGTAGTTATGTTACCATGTTGTTGTTAATATTGTCGTTGAAAAGAATCTAAATAAGTTAATTTTGCAGTGTTTTAATTTTCAGCAAGGTTACCCACCTCATTTTATGTTGTAACCAATGCTTTGTTCCCAACACTTTATGACACTTCCTTTAGAAAGGATATGATAAAGAAATGTCATCCTATACTCGATTAATTTTCCATCTCGAATTTAATGTTAAATAACTAAATTCCCCAGCTCCTGAGCAAAAGGTTGTTTTAGGATTAATCAAAGCTACACTCATGTAACCTGAGCTCCCCCAAGTGGACAAAATAAGTATTGCATGCCATCGTTCTGAAATGCCCTTTAATGTATAAATGTCACTCTGTATTTACCTGGTCATAATCTGATGCTATTTGTGTATCTTGCTTATATTCCCTAAGTAAGAACGTGTAACAGCCAACATTATCCAGAAAGCTAGTTAAGTTCCTCTCATCTGATGTGATTCCTAGGAAATGCTAACATTAAGGTTGAACTATTGACAATTGTTTTCCTTTTATCAAATGCTTAAAACTAAGAACGGTACACCCATTTGACAATTAAGGTTTGATTGTGGGAAGATATTTGATTACAATACACGCAAATAGATTTTTGAATAGACATATTAAAAGTTTAAAGAAAAGACAGTTTCTCAGGAAACCGGAAACAAGCCCTCAGGGGGAAAAAAAACTGCCCTCTGGGAACTACGCCACAACAAACAAAAACAGCGACACACGCTCTTGTTCGCTCTCTTCAACTGCACTTCGGCACGCGCCCAGTGTGCTCCCTCTCCCGGCAACACCCTAAGAAGTTCGACCCGGCGCAGCAAAGGCTCTTTGTTCGTTTCAAGCCACACACACAAAGCGCCGCGACCTTACTTGCTTTTTATTTTATTTTATTTTGTTTGTTAAAAGTTATCAGACCGTTAAGTTACACAATTTGAATTCAAGAACAACCAAGTTCTTTTTAAGCTTTATTTGTCGAGCTAACTTACACTGATCTCCGACGCCCGGGGCAACCACGTGGGCCCACCAGCAGTAACAAAGGACGACCACACCTATAACCTGAGCCAGGGTTGTAAAGGCCCCCACTGCCAGTTTCTTCAATAAGCTGACAAAAGACGGACCTCCGGAGCAATTCCCTGGCAGAGAAAGTGACGGCTTTAAGCTGTCCTAACCCGAGAACGTGCGGAACTCCGCCAGCGTTAGGCCGCCGACCAGCAAGTTTGTTAATAGATTATCTTTAACTCTTAAAACTCATAGCTTGCGTTAATTAGCTGCCCGTATGAGTCAAATTCTCCCCACAATAGAACTCCACATTCTCATTGTTTAGCCATTGTTTATTTCTTTGATGTATATTTAACCGCATTTATGTCACCTTAGTTAGTTAATAAATCTCACTGTAATCAAAGGAATTGTGTGTGTGTTGCCTAACTCCAAGTCCCTGTCATGAGAATTTACCCCTTTGATATGAGACTGACTGATTGATTTAAGATAATTGAGCAATTGTTAACTAACTGATCATTAGTGAATAATTGTATATGTATTTTTAACCATTAACCATACCCAGGGAATCCCGAGACTCTGGGCCAATGGAATCTCGGGTGGTGCCCCTCCCAGAGATTTATGAATTAATATTCTCAGAATATTAAAATTCATATTTTTGTATTAATTCTCATAAGTTTATTAAAACATAAGTAGACACCTGCTTCCAGGTATTTTTTTTCATATCACCTCACCTCCATCGAGGTTCCAAGCGAGCTGAGGGATACAAAAATGTAGCGTGAAAACAGGACAGACTGCTGATTGGTTAGAGAGAATCGTCACTATTCACTCCATCATCATTGC